AGAGAGAGAGAGGGGCGTGTCGCGCTGCCTCTCTCATGGGGTTCTTCGGCGCCAGTTTTGCATTTCTGGGCTTTTCAGCCAATCAGACGGGACCTAGTCCTGCCCCTGCTTCCGGCCACGGCTCCTCCCCTGCAGCAGCTGCCCCCCCACACACACACACACAGAGGGGGTTCAGCGCCGCGTGGAGACGCCGTTTTAAGTCAGTTTTGTCGGCTGACTCAAAGGACATTTCATGTTCGTGTAAGGAAATACCTGGTCCTTCACAGTAATATATAAAGAAGTATATTATTTAAAATTCTTCCAATATGAGAGACCATTTTCCAAGATACAAGAGAAAAAGGAACAGATGGTTATTAATAATGGGAGTGTCATCTCCTGGATGAAATATCTGGTGTTGTTAATTTGGTTAAGTTTATTAAACAAAAGGCAGATTGATTAAGTAGGATTTCCATTTTCAAAACAAATTGAGAGAGTTAATTAGCAAAATCAACTGGACAGAGTAATTTTAGACTAAAATGTAGTAGAGGTTTGGGATTTGTTCTAAACAAAGGTGCAAAAATTAATAAAGAGTGAATCCCAAATCAGATGAGAAAAAAAACTTGGGAGGGAAGTTAGATGCCAAAGTATATGACTAAGTATTTTTTTAAGGAAGGTCTGGAGTAAGCAAAGATCCTGAAAGAAACAAAAAAATAATTTTATCTGAAAAGAAGGCTACCTTGGATATCAGAAAATGTGGGGGATAACGAAAGTTAAGTCAAATTAGATCATAAGAAGAAAAATAAAATTAACCAGAAAATATTACTTGACTATATAAAGAAACTGAAGCCATTATGCAGTGTGAATGGACACTTATCTTAAATGTAATCAAAATATGGGTCTGAAAATAAATAAATAAAGGAAAATGGAATGTTGGGTAAATATTATAAATTAGCATATGCAATAGAGATTATAGGGTTGAACTTGTGGAGTAACTATGTTTTAAGTATATTGACAAATACTGCTGCATGGAACAATTTTTTTAGTCTTTTTTTATGGCTGGTAATGTATATTTGGAGGGGAAATGTAGTAGATTAAGAGAAAAAAAGTGGTAGCAAAGCACCTATGTAGGTCGACTATGCAGAGCTTTAGAAAAGTTTTTAAGGGAGAAGTAAAAGAGAGAAGAGAGAGTGGCAGAACTTTTACTGCAGCTGTTTTGTTAAATGGGAAATTGTGCCCAACTAACCTAATAGACTTTCAGAATATACATTGAGGAAATTATGTTAAGTCTATCTGGATCTCAGTTAACCATCTGATGTAGTGCTACAGAAGATGCAATAGAAAGGGTGGGGATTTAGTGAAGTATAGTAATTATAATATTAATAGAGAAATGTAGATATTAATGAAATAATTATTTTTAGTGGAGTTTGTGGTGGAATTTATCCACTATTTTCATTTGTTGTGTTGGCATAAAGTGAGAGACTGTACTGATGGAATTTTATGAAGAAATAGGAAATACACAGGGATATAGAAGAATTATCCAGCTAAAGACATATTGGGTAAGAATAATAGTAGAAAACAGGATATTTATACATTTTCTTTGAAAAATAGGTTATTCTGTCTGGCTTTTAACCGTCTTTTAATGGAAGTCGTTATTATAGAGAGGAAGGTTTCTGTGAACGTCGCTATTTGTATTAACAGCTCACAGGATGTGAAAGAAGGTGTTTTCAAGACATTTTACTTACATACTTTCAGAAAAGCTTTGAACTTGTGCTATGACAAAAAATACCTGGTATCTTACAGTTAACTCAAAATTTTTCACAAACTTTTGTATGTTTGACTTAATATTAGTGAAGTCAAACTCATCTCTTTTATAGCATAATTCTTTAATAATATACTAGAAAAAAATGTGTTTACTAAGTTGAAAAGGGCCTCAATCAAAACTGTTAGAGACATTAAATCGCAGATACTCCGAACATTCAGACTCCAAACTGAGAATGGTGGCTAGTTGTCTCTCTTGCCAGTAATAAGAATTTGAAGATGTAAATTTGAGCTTCATCTGTGCAAGTTTTGTCGTAACTGAAGTTACCATATACATTAAATTCAGTTGCAATTCTCACCCATCTTGTGTTATTTATTATCAGGGTATGACTTATAACAAAGGTGTTTTATTTTTATTTTAGGAGGATCAAATGAAAATGGAAGCACGCACCACACCTCAGATTCCGATGGAACATTTATTTCTTATAGGTTGGTAATTTTTTTATTTTTTCTGATTTAAAAGAAAATGAATATAATAAGCAGTATAATCATAGAATCATGGAATAGTTTGCCTTGGAAGGGACCTTAAAGATCATCTAGATCCAAATCCCATGCACTGGCAGGGACATCTCCCACTAGACCAGGTTGCTCGAAGCCCCATCCAACCAGGGGTTGAACACTTCCAGGGAAGGGACATCCATAACTTCCCTAGGCAACCTGTTCCAGTGTCTCACCACCTTCACAGGAAATAATTTATTCCAAATGTCTAATTTAAATCTACCCTCTTCCAGTTTAAAATCCATTACCACTTGTCCTCTCACTACAAGCCTTTGTAAAAAGTCCCTCCCATCTCTGCTGTAGGCATCTTCAGGTACTGGAAGGTCATTATATAGAGTCTCCCTGAAGACTTCTCCAGGCTGAACCCCACCTCTTTCAGCTTGTCTTCATAGGAGAGGTGCTCCAGCCCTCTGATCATCTTCATGGCCCTCCTCTAAGCTCTCTCCGAGAGCTCCATGTCCTTCTCATGTTCTGGGCTCTAGAACTGGACACACTGCTCCAGGTGGGGTCTCATGAGAGCCAAGTAGAGGGGGAGAATCACCTCCCTTGACCTGCTCATCATGCTGCTTTTGATGCAGCCCAGAATACAGTTGGCTTTCTGGGCTGCAAGTGCACATTTCTAGCAAAGCTATTTAAAGCAATGAACAGGTCCTTATATTTTAAGAGTATGTACAACCTGAACTGCAACAGTCAGTAGACTGAGGAACATGGAAGATTTAATTAAGGAATGATCTGAAGAATTTCCTGGATGGTTTTTTTTTATTTGTTTGGTTTTGTTTGGGTTTGTTTTTGTTGTGTTGTTGTAGGTTTTTTTGAGAAAGTTGTTAAAAACCCTCATCTAAAAAGCACAGGATGTTTGTATGCCTGAATTTTTTAAGGTGGCTGATGTTGTTTTTTTTCTTCAAAGTATGCAGTAAAGTAGAAATTCTCACCTCAAGTCATAGCAGCTAAGCCTAAAAAACATGCTGCTGAGCAACTTTTTGTAGCACTGTCAGTGAGCTTGAATTTTGCTTGGGTGCATACCAGAGGGTGTCTTGTACTTGAAAACATAGGAAGGTAATCAGCAGATGTGTAGCTTCATCTTTCATCCAGAAAAATACTGCTTCTGTTACAAATGCTAAATCTTTGTCTTTGTGACTAGTAAATTATTAGTAAAATTTGTGCTAACCAAAATGACTGCATCTGATTTTGATGGTTAAGTGTGGTAAAGTAAAACAAGCTTATCACATGATCATTTTTGATTCATTTGTTGAACTATGATGGACAAACTGGAGTCTGTACTTCAAAGAGATGCAGGCAGACAGGCAGGAGGAACCTGCCTGTTTGCCTTGTCCTGGTTGCAGCCAGCTGGGTGGGGAATAATATCACATGGTCTCACAGACAGGGAGATGTGCTGGGCATCCAGAGCCTTCAGGTGTGGGATGGCTGGGAGTGACACAACACCTGGAGAACATGTTGCAGGCTGGAGACTGAGAGATTGCTGAGGAGAGCAGGGAACCAACAGCCTGGTCTTGAGGATGTTGAAAAGAAATTTTCGTAAGGACCTAGAGGGAACAGCAAAGAGTTTGTTGCGATTCAAACACCCTGAAGAAGCTTCTGCACTGAGAACCAGGTTGGAAAAAAGGGTGTGCCTGCAGGGACACAGTGGGACAGGGGAGGTTTGATTTACAGATACTTCCAATTTTCTGTATTCTATTAAGTCTACTCTAATGAAACCTACTTTGTGGTGGTATAAAACCCTTCAAGGGTAGTTGGTATGTTCACTTTGAGAAAAATACGTTAGCAGATCCATTTCAGGGTTCTGCCTCACTTGATTGCTTGTCATATTTGTGTCCTCAAATGCATGCAACATATTATCTAAGTTAAAAGAAGGGATCAAAAATACCACCCAGAATAATCTGTGTGGTTTTCTTAGGTGAGAAGCATATGTAGGTAAACAGACCACGAAGCAGTCTCCAAAAAATAGGCAAGATCGAATTTAGCCAGATCAGCAGAAGAAAGGAGTTGAGAGCTCTGTCTGCCATTAATTTCAGGATACTAATACCTGAAAGTTCTTAACTCAAGAGCTTCAGCTGTTGTACCTGCCAAGGTAATACTTGAAGAAAAAGCCAGCTTCAGCTACCCTCTGGTTCCATGAGTGTAAGCTGTGGGGCTGAGGTCCAACCCTTTCTTTCTACCCCTTCTTCCCTCATCCAGTGGCACTCATCTCTCAATGAGACAGTCCAGCTCCCTAGTCCAACTAGTCCAGCCTAAACCATAATGAGTCCTCAATCTTTAATGCTCCACAAATAAGAGGAGGTTTAAATTTGCCTTTGTATCTCTATATTCCTTAAAGTGCGTGTAATAAATACGATGTTGGCTAAAAGTTCCACTGAATAATAATTGTATTCTGACAGAAAGCATTACAGCCCAATTTCCAAAGCCAAAGTTAATTAATATTTTAAAAGCAGTCCCATATACCACTGCTAGACTGTTATTGTTATAATTAGAGGCAATATATGATATATGATTATTATGAAAATATGATAAAGCAAGATAGTACTGCATGTGTGTGTATGTGTGTATATATATATATATGTCTGTGAGTGTGTATACACCCATATATGAAAGAAACCTCTGACTTAGAATAGTTGGCAAACTAGCACTGATATTAAGTAGTATTACAAAGCTGAAGGTGTGAAATGATTATTTTCTGCTCAGTGGTAAGTAACTCCTGTCATATTCTGAGACTGGCTGTAAATTTTCTGTTTGGGTTGAATATTGTGGTAATAGTGGTATTTCTGTTCTGCATGTTAAGTAAAAACAAGTAGCTATTACCTCATGACAGCAAAAAAGTGAGTCTTAAACTACCTTAAAAGGTAACAGTGGTAATTGGTTGTTACTTCTTTAGGGACTCCTTGGAGATTCAGACATATTTTAGGATACTGTCAATGAATAATGTTTCAGTAAATTAGTAGTTTGAAAAAACTGGTGATGCCCTAGTTTACCCAATGTGTTTTAATCTATTGTATTTTTAAAAGTCTGGCTGGTGAAATTTTGCCCTAAAAGAGGCAAAGGCATTTTTTGATCACACAGATACTTACAAAAGGCTCATACGTGCAAAATTCTACTGGAAATTTATATTGGAGCAAAAGCTGCTTTATGTTTTATCAGTAATAGTCTCTTCACAATTTGTTTAGAAGAGGCAACTCCAAATGTTTAAAAATAGTTGACTGAGAATGTGTTTTACTGTTAAAGGGGTCTAAAGAGGATATTGTTTTTACCACATTAAAAAAATAACATGGAGTGAGGGTTGTTACTTGATTCCAACACTTTCTATTTTAAAGGACAATTTTATACCAAGTAGTACAGGACTGAGTGTGTGTGTGCATGTATTCTTAAAGGATGTCACATAATTATCCTTTGTTATATTTCTAATGGTCCAGAAATATTTGTATGATTTTATTTTTAATATTATGGTGTCACCTTAGAGTTTGTGGCCCTTGTTTGTGTTGATCATGGCACAGATATAATGCTTCTTATGTTTAAATTTATGAGTAATATAAGTGAAAAGCACTTGTGACCAACACACATTTCTAAATATTCTGTGAATTTGCGACTGCATCCTATCAGGTCACAGAAAATTTTCTACTTGGTCTTCAGGCTCTGATGGAAGTATTCTGTGTACTTGGGAAGGAGCTTTACTAATTATGAAAATTATTTCCTATAACCATGTCATCAAAATTTGAAGTTCACTATCAGAAAAATTTGAACAAGTATTTAGACATACAGTAACTCTCATCTTTAAAACGTAAGAAACTTTAGGAAAATACTTGAGATCCACTCTGTTGTTTTACAGCTGTGGTTAAAGCCTTTTCTGGATGTGAAAATTGGAGAGATTTCACCAAAAAGAAAAGAAAAATAGGTGTGGGTATCTGGTTTCAGGATCTGCAGTGCAGTGCCACTGGAAAGTAGAAATACTGTCTTTCTCCTGCCTTCCCAAGGGCAGCTGACCTTCTCCTCGCCAAAGAGGTGAACCCCTTGCCAGCACATATGACTACAGACTATTACATTAATCTGTTTAGCCTCAGTACCAGCTGCTTGCATGTTTTTAATTATCTTATTAGATGGTATAACAGTGACCTATGAAATAAAATGAAGGTGAGTATTTTTTAACTTTATTTTACAGGCTATTTTTCTAAATATATTTTAATGACCTAATTATGACTTTTAAGGAGAGCCATTGATGCAGACATTCAATTTGGCTGATAGAATCTAACATCTCAAGGACACTTATTTTCTTCCAAGGTGGATTCAAACATTAATACTGCTTCTAATAAATATATAGCCTTAAAAAAAGCTCAGTTTTCATACTTGGTGTGGTTTAACTTACTTTATGATTCAGAGACCCATGATTAGTATGTTGGGTAATTTATTAATGCATTTCTGCACTTATATATAAGTTTCTACCCCATGTATCAAGATAAAGTTATTTCCTGCATGCCTTAAACCCCACAATGAGTGGGGGATTGCTCAAAGTTGTGAGTTGTGTACACAATGTATATTCCTTTTTCTGCTGATATTTCAAATAGGCAAAAGATCTAGTATAAGAAAGACTTTCATATTCCATTTTCTTCCCCTGCTTCTTACAGATTCTGCTTACCAGATGTTTTCTTTCTTACTGCAAAAAAGCAATGTGGTCCTGCTGGCTGAGGCATGTTTCTTGTGTGCAAGCCAACAACTGCAGGACTGATACTGAGCATACAGCAGAAAGACGGCAAGGGGCGCAAGCTGTTCCTCCCTGTTTCTACCCACTTCCAAAAGTGGATAGTGAAGCTAGTTTGATTCCTCTTTGACCTATGGCTTTTCTTGGCAGCTGAGCTAGAAATAGCTACGTAGCCTCTGTCTTTATATGTTAAAAGATGTAGGCAATTTATATACCTCCACCTTGT